GATATTGCGGTTGTTAATTTTCTTTTATTTATTGTGAGTTGTTTTTACCTAAGTGTTACCGTTTATTTTGTGTTTCAACACAAAAAACTAACGAATATAATATTTTTAAAAGAATTGCAAATACTTTTTCATATCAATTTAAGTAAATTATTTATTATATATATTGCAGAACATAATGCAGCTGAGGCAGGAATATTAAACCAGTCGTTGGAAAAGATTTTGTTAGCAAGAGGATTCGGTGATGATTCAAAAAAATAAAAACTCTCCAATCGAGAAGCAAATAGATAGATTTGAACAATATATGTAGTCTGAAAACGTCGAATTAAAAAAAATGTAATATATCACTTAATATCCCACTTAAAGGAAATTATTAACGCTAATTGCATATTTGCATATTTAAGTGAATAAAACTTGTTTCTTCAAAAACACTGCATTTTAATTTTGATTCGTAAAAAACAGTAATTATGCATGATGCAACCCAATACATATTTAATAAAATATTGAGAAATTTTTTTCTTTTACCTTAAGCCTTCTTGATAATTAGGTCCTGCTCTCCTTACAAAAATTCTTATATCATGCTCTACTAGCTTAGGTTGATATTCTTGGAGAGCTTTAACGATGCCTTTAAATGTTGCAGCTACATTTGTAAAATTAGCAATACCTCCTCCTATAATAAGTACTTTTCCATCGGGACACTTTCTCTTAGTCATCAAACTCAATATAGTTTTTGCATATTCATAAGTTTGTTGTTCGCTAGGAGCACCAGAATATTCACCGTAATTAGCCAATTCGGCGGCTGCACCCAGGTCGCAAATCGTGTCTGAATATATCACAGACGCACCTGTAAAAATCGACATAGAATGATATTTTGGCATACATAAACAAAAGAAATTATCGAGTTGATGGGAAAGTAATTTTGTTTTCAAAGTTAGGATTAAAGTTAAGAATTATGCATCATTATTACTTATAATTATATAATTATATTTTTTCATTTGACCTAGAAGGGATCGAAATATAAGGGAAAAAAACAAACGAAAATTATTTCTACATAAACCCAATGTAAAAGAGCAAAAGTAAATCATTTTATGTGTGTATGGGGAGGGAGGGGGAGGACATCCGGGTTTACTGACCACCACCAGCAACCATTGTCCATATGCGACCATTTGGATTAAGAATCGTCAACTTTAAACTAGCACCAGACTTGGCGTCTAAATCAGCGATGTAAGCTTCCTCTGGATAAGCATCTCTTCCGAATGGTGGTGGATAATCAATTTCTCCCCAATCCGGTCTACATATAAAGTCCGCTGTAGTGTCCAATTTAGCCGCAAGGTCAAGTATATAAATCGCAGTATCCGTTACCACTAACGGATTGATTTCCATATACGTAAAGTATAAATTAACGTACAACTTGTAAAGAGATTCTATAAATTCGGCTATCACCCTAAAAGAGGAAAAAAGCATAAAGAAAAATTATAATATCTATAATTATTTACGATAATTAAACATCATTACACTTTTTTATCATCCATCACATTCATCAGAAGCTTTTCGATCAATGTAGATCGATTGGGTGCTTCGCTGCCAACCGGTATATCTAATTTCAAAGCCTTAGCATCGACATCTCCGATATCGACACCTCCTTGATGATGAAACAGTATCGTGTCTGCTTTGCGATGAGAATAAATACATACGTAAACTTCCTCTTCCTATAACGTAAATGTAAAAAAAGAAAAAGTAATTCAAATTTTGTTTGTACTCGTAGTTTCATCATATCAATTCAAAATATTTTTCCGCTCTTTTGTAGTTATACAATGTTAGTATCGATTAATAAAAAATGACATGTCTTAACATTGTTACATGGACATTAAACTTTGAAATAAGACAAAAAGAATCGAAAATTTTAATCTTCAAAATGGTTTAATTTAAAGTAAATATGCACATATATACAAAGAGATATGAATAAAAAAATTCTTACCGGTTTATGCGGTATAAATGGTTCAATTATAAATGTTTTTAATTTTCCGGTTGCTTTGCCAACGCGTTGTTCTTTATTCATGCGTTGCTCCACCCATTTTTGTACCGTAGATAAATCCGCATTCACCTTAATTAATCCGAGTTTTCCCCGTCGCTTGATTAATTGATCCGGTTTAACAACCAGTCTTTCTGTTTTGAGCCATGGATGTTCATTGGTGATATCGATCCAATTTGTATTTTCCGTAATAGGTACAAATCTACATTTTGCTACTTTTGTTCCGACAGAAAGTTTACGATTGATCAGGTCTTTTCCAGTTGCTTCTCGAATTGCCTTTGCTGCCATATTTTTTTCTTTAAATTCCTATGGACAAACCAATGAATAGTTAATCAGATTTAGATTTTTGGATAAAATAAGATGGTTCGCGTTTCCCTTCATCATCAATTTGTATGGAGAAGAAAAAAAAACATCTCGTTGTAATAAGACACTTGTTAATAAAGTTATTATCTTACTGTTATTGCTCTTGCTGCTATATTTTTGAAAATCCTGAATAAAACAAGATGATTCGTTTCGTACTATGTTCGTTAATTTTTGTGAAGAAAGATACTCAAGTCGCGGTAAATCGCTTATTGATAAAATTATTTAACATTTGAAATAATGCACAGTTTAATGTGATAATGATTAGAACAAATAGTCGAAAGAACAGTCTTGTTTTACTCGTGTTCTCTTTTAACTAACTTCTCTCGTAACTAACTGCATTACGTGATCGATCAATGGTAGAATTAATATTTTTCTCTCTTTTCAGCGATAAATATAGAACGGTTCAAAGAAGTACGATAGACTGATAGATATTAAAATCTTATGTATGAGAGGTCATCTATACATTACAAACTGATGTGATTTATCAACCGTGGTAAGATTTGCGCAAAACCGAAATTACATAAGACTTTTAATTAAATGGCTCATTTTGTTATCTAGAATCGAATTATTTGAAACAGTTGTTGCGCTAAATTTTTTAAAATTTTAAATAGTTAATCAAAATAATGTCTAAAATTTATTAGTTACAAAGATATAATTATAAAAAATTTACCTTGTGTTTAAATAGTATTATAAGCACATAACACTTCACTACAAAATTAGTGCTCTACTTTTCATTTTATCGCTTAAACTACATTTAATATTTTATTTTAAAAAATATTTTAACTATTTAAATATTTATTTTTAAATATTATATTTAAATATTTATTTTGAAAAATATACATAGTAAAAGACAGTTGCATGAATATTCAAGAAAAGGTTTTGAATTATTTATCATACAATTTTAAAATAAAATAAAACATACACAGGCGCGCGCGCGCGCGCGCAGCTAATTTATCTATGTATAGATGCAACCAAAAATGTATCTCTCATGATAAAAAATCTATTGTATTTTGAAACTTTGATTAAAACTTTTTAAATATTATTAAATACTTTTTTGAGATTCTTTAAATATACAATAATATACTGTAATTTTTAAATATGTTATGAAACGTATACTATAAAATATATATAAAATATATATAAAATATATATGAAATATATATATTAAACATATTATGAAATATATATTCTAATAAAATTAATTGATTTTTTTTTTTTATATCATGCGTTTAAAATTTTTAATGGCATTGTAACAAGAGAATTATTTTAAATAAACAGTTAACATCACTTTTTTTATTTAAATTTTAAAACAAATAAATATCAATGCTCTGCAATACCTTCGAAGGTGTTTTGGACGCCGATGCAGACGTCGTTGTTTTCGCGGTCGCTTGTAGCAACTAAATGAACTTTCAATGTGACATTACAGCGATATATATAACATGCCATGTCTCCGCGTGATATCACGAGATATCGTATGATTTTACGAAGACTTTTATGCTTCATGTTCTTTTCTCTATCTCTGTCTTTCTTTTAATCTATTTCTCATATACATACGTGTTCCGCCGGAACAACTTGTTTACGAATGCAGCAGAGAAAAGAGAAAAAAAATGCATTGACAATGTTACATATTGTATGCACCTTATATATATAGTGTTCGGTATTATCAAAGAGCGTAATTAAATTGCATAATCGTATAATTTCAAAGATTATTAAAAATAATTGACATCTTTAACAAATTATGTTTTGCAATTATTAACATAAATATGCATCTCTTTCATTGTTAGGACAAGTACATTTTTCATAATTAAAGTGAAGTCTGCTTTTATAGATAATAATTTCGATATTTGTGATAGAAATCGATTTATAATTTTGTGTAATAAAAAACATTTGAAGAATCAAAATACATGCGTATAAAATATATGTCGTTAATATAAATTTTATGCATGCATATTTATATTTTAATTTTTTAAATATTCTTTGTATCAAGCCCATTTTAAACGATGTATAATTCGCGACAGAATTCGAAATAGAGACCTATTTATAATTTTACGTAATAAAAGTGTTGAGAAAAAATTGTACCCATATAAAATATGTAAAATATTATTTTAAATACTGACTTAAAATATGTGAAAATAAAATGGAAATACAAAATAGTTTCAAACAAAAGTTGTAAGACGCAAAGAAAAGTCACATGAAGATTACTTCATAAATTTTTTAAACAAAAATTTAAATTTTATTACAAATTTTTGTAATCAATATAAATAAAATATTAAATATTAAATGCCTTAACACGTAAAATTGTATCAAATTTTGACAATTTGGGCATCATGTCTATTTGTTTATGCATGACTGTTAGTAAAAAGTATAAAACTATATTTTTATTAACCAATTTACTTATTGTACGAGTTATTGTTAATATTTTCACTTTATATTTAAGTTTTCACGTATATCAAATTAATCAATTATGACAGAACTGTGCCGAACTGTCAAAAATAATCTTGAGTTATAATACATGAATATCTAACAAGTAAACCTACCTTTGTGTTACTCGCCGATTTTATCGAAACTCGGTACACTTGTAGAGCGGTCAAAAATAATACACACGTATTTTTTATATCGGCAATAGTACAACTTTAAGGGTGAAAATTACCTCTAAAAAACTCAAATTATCGTTTCTTTTAACATTATCTTGATAAATATCGATGTAACAAAGAAATGTTTCAAATAAAAGTAGCTCTTAAAAAAATACATCATTTATGTCCTATGCATTTTTTGCATAGAACCAATATTTTTCGAAAAAATCGAGATAATAAGAAAGACACTTTTTCCGCACTATGCAGTGGGTCCCCCCCCCCCCCTCTTCGCCCAGAAGAGGAAAGGGGGAGAGAAGGGGGGGGGACCCACTGCATCCACACATACACTTTACACGCGAAGCGAGGTTTTATATGGATTTGCAACTTTCCACGCAAAGCGAAATTTCAACTCAAACTTATGTGTATAGCTTTTTGATGGTGGAGCCCCCACCCCGGAGGACGGAACACAATGCCTCCACGCATACACTTTACAACGCATTATTACATTTTTTTCGAAAAATATTGGTTCTATGCAAAAAATGCATAGGACATAAATGATGTATTTTTTCAAGAGCTACAACTTTTATTTGAAACATTTCTTTGTTACATCGATATTTATCAAGATAATGTTAAAAAAAACGATAATTTTTTACTTCTTTTAGATTAGGTTAGGGGTAGTTTTCACCCTTAAAATTGCACCCTTGCCGATATATAAAAATACGTGTGTATTATTTTTTACCACTCTACAAGTGTACCGAGTTTCAATAAAATCGGCGAGTAACACAAAGGTAGGTTTGTAAGTATGATACGCCTTGAATTGTCAAAATTTGATATAACTTCACATGTTAATATTCATTTTGTATACATATATATATTCTGATATTTCAAATGTTTCTTATATTATATATATATTATACGGCATATAAAACTGTAATTCTATCTTACATTTTGCCGCAAACTACATATAAATCGTCTAAAATGAGCGGCCTTTGCGCGCCACATTCCGAACTTCGCTGTAACATAATTTCTTGATTCAAGAGTAAATTGAATTTGTCATACTTACAATTAATGTATAGTATACAATAAATTATTTCGTTTATGTGATCAGTTTTCTATTAAAAATGTAAAATTTTGTTCGAGGTACGATTCATGTGGCCCTCTAAAAAAGATTGAATATAATATTTTATAAGAATTCTCTAAAAGTAGAAAGCGGTTATTGCACAGAGTAACCTTCCAATGTTATCTATTTGCAAACGAGAAGAATCGCCACATTCGATCGCAATCTAAAAAAAAGAAAAAAACAAAGACGTACGGCCTCTTCTGTTTGACTCGCTGCATTTTTTATCGATTCTTGCTTACGTAGTTGAAAATGCTGAACGTATGTGCACACTCCGATATTGCGTAAACGATTTAGCATTTCAAATGTGATAGAACGATAAGTAAAAGTCGTCTACACATAGAAATTTATGATTGTATGAAAGAAGTATATGCACACAGAAAAGATAAATGTTATTTTACCTGTGACGTAAGTTTAACGGAAATTTTAAATATATATGTTAAATAATACATTGGCAATTCTTTTGAAGAACTACGTAAGAATTTTAAGATACATCTTTAAAGATTTTATCACTCCATTTAAGAACTAAGAAAAGTAAAATATATTTAAACTAGAATTGTAGGATAAAAAAATAAAAAATTAAACTTTTGATATTTTTTATCCAGTATATACTTTAAATATTATTTTTCACTTAAAAAAAAATTAACCAAAGGAAGTAAACTGGCAGCATTCTTGAAGCTGGTATTTTAGACTGTAGCAACTGAAAGTCATTGCAATTCTTCTATTGTACTTGTAGTTCATACAAAACACAAATATAAAAAAAAAACTTAATTTAATTTAATTTTAATTTTTTATAGTACAATCTATAATACTTGTACAGACTGATACTATAACAGATGTTGAAACTGATATTATTTCACAGAGTTTGAATTTTCTCGCTGCAAACATGGAAAATTGATCCCTATGTATTATTTCTGACAATAGAAATACAACAATTGATATAAAAGCTTTTCTTGCATACGTGAAATTAGAAATTTAATATATCGAAAAATTGTATACCGCTATTAATCCTCATATTGCAATTAACCATAATAAAATCCAACATACATTAGACACATATCTAACTGATGTTCCAAGTGTTAAAATACTGCGATATTAAGTATACCCCAGCAAAAACACTAACCAACAGTAACATAACATCAATGTTATAATTTTCCACTCAACAATATATATAATAATAATGTTATGTACATATAATGTTAATGACATGTTATATTGCAGTAACGTTATTGAGAAGAAAATTATAATATTGATGTTATGTTATTGTTAGTTAGTGTTTGCTGGAACATCTAAATAAAATATCTCTTTGGTTGTGACATTTCGTATTACAACTCAACTATAACCAAATGTATCAAATTCACTATATTAAAAAGAACATATTTGCAAAAATTTATTCGTCACGTCACAAGCAACATATTTTCAAATGAGAAATAACGTCAAATAATTATATCGTACGACTTGCAGAGCATCTACAGCGCACAGTGAAAGGTTCACAGAAATTCAGTGGAACACGAAAGAGGTTAAGAAGTCTGAGATACGTGATATAATCGATTTAAATGTGCTATGTTTACCGGACAGTTAATTATTTTAATAATCGCTTTACTTACAAGCCACAGGCGATGAAGCTGGCTTCGTAAATAGTGAAACTTAGTTAAATCTCAGACAATTCCGAGAGTGCCACGAACGCACATCCGTTCGCTCGCACTGCCATAAAAAGATTACTCCACTCGAAATACACGTCTTTACTCCTTACTGCTTCGAGACTGTTGCCACAACATCGAAACGAAATATAATTAAAGACGTTTCGATTTTCTGCAAGCTGATAAAAGCAAGTTAAAGTAATAACGTAGTCGCGCCAATTTTAAAACAAACCAATAAAATATAATGAAAAAAGATAAATTTTAGCTTTATACATAGTATTTGTTTTAAAAATATCAAATTTTATGCTCTTACGTTGGCTCCATTGCGTCAGCTATGACATCACGCGAAACGTCACATCGAACGATTTTTATTATTATAACAGACATGAAACCGGTTAGGATCAACCAGGAACGATCCGATTCGATTAGATCCACTTTACTTTTCTCTTTCTCAGAATTAAACTACAAACGTAATAAGATATTGAACAGACATAAATAGACAGACAAGAAATAAATATATAGGAATTTGATCTAGAAAACATATTAGCAGAAGCAATAATTATTATCGTTATGTTGATGATTGTTAAATAGCTAGGACTTATATTACATATATTACTTTTTTATTTCTTTGTTCAATATTATATGAAAGAATTTCTGTTTTGTGAGTTATGAGCAATTGTTGCGTATTAAAAAATGAATATATGATAAAAATATATTTTTTATAAAATCAATCCTCCCCCCCCACACACACACAAATATTTTTATTTTTTTTACATTGGAAAATGATATTGTAATACGTTATAAATTATAAGAATAAACTTTAATCTCTACAATGTTTCATGTCTTGTTCTAATTATTATCATTATGATTATTGTAGTTGTAAACTTCTTTTTAGCTTGATTATTTTTAAGTTTATAATACAATTTCTCAATGTATTGTGCAGTTCATAGTATAATATTTGTTTATATTGCTTGTAGACTTGTATAAAAATCGATAGTTGTATTCGTCATTTACAAAATAAAATGCAACTTTTTCAGCTTTTCCTTCCACTATTCTTACCACATCATTATTTGTTCTATCTTTCTATCTCTTTCTCCCCTTTTCTTCCTTATATATTGCTAACATTACATGATATTTCTCAAACACATCGCTCAGGTAACACATGGCAATATTATATGTGTGCTTCGATGTGCCAATGATTACACTCTACCTTCCAATTTGGCAATGGTATCGTGCACATTTTCTATCACGCTGTATATATATGGACGTTCCATCGGATTGACTTTCAACATGGACAAGATTAAATTTTGCATGTCCTGAAAGAAAGAATTGTAATTGTTTATTTGTGAAAATATTTGTATCACGCAAATAAAACATAAAGAATTTGAAAAAAATTCAATTTTCTTGAAAGTATGTGCCATGTTCTACTACAATTCAAGATTAAAACATTCAATTTTACGTATTTGATTATATAAATATATTGTTTCTTATCTTATATTAGAAAAAGTATTAATAATAAAGTCATATAAATATGTTTTGCTACAATTTTAGGTGAATCTTTCACATCGGTCATTGTGAATTTTAATGAAATTTTACATAAACATTCATTAATTTTGTTCGTAATTTATACGACAAATTAGACTTGGCTGGCAAAATTTTTTCTCTATCAAATTTATCAATAAATGCTGCAATACACAAATTTTCATAAAAACCAATGTAAACAAAAATTAAATATCTTTTAAATCAGAAAATTATGCTTATAAATTTGGCGCAGATATGAAAATTTTTTAGTTTTATCAATGTTTAAACATGTGTAATTTGCATTCTTTTCTTCTTTTATATGTATAGTTATAATGTGAAAAAGGAATACATTTTGACTTGTGTTTGACAATATATACGATATACTTTAAATGTTTACTATGAATAAAACAAAGATTATTATTATTATAATTATTAAACTTTCAAAAATTCTACAAACTTTTATTACGTATTTGTCAAAAAGTAAAAAGAATTACATTTTTTTGCAATGGCAAAACTATATATTCTCTAAAAGCTTAGACTCAATGGTACTTAAGCCTAATGGTACTAATTTTATTATTGAACATAACAAGCAACATTAAACTATAAAAATACTATAAAAACTATAATCTATTGTTATTTAATATGAAAACATTCAAGGAACACAGTCGACACAGCGTCAATACAAGTGTCAACGTTAAACAAACTTTTAAGAAACATAACGTGTAATATATTACCTCGTTATATGGAGTATCTTCTGGAAATGTTATATGTGCGCTCATCACAGCAAGAGCTACACTGTCGCCTCGTTCGTAAACAGTATCGAAAGGAGATTTAAAGTAACATAATGCATATAGTATACATCCCAATGACTGGAAAATGGGCAAATACATATATAATTAAACATAAAATACATTGTAAAAGATATAAATTAAGACAAAAATAGAAGCATTGTAATATTTACCCAGATGTCTGTTCGTTCATCAACCATGCAATAACTCTCGACATTAAATAATTCTGGTGCTCGATATGGCATGGAACATCTTTCAGCTGCCAAGTCTTGTAAAGTTCGCGCAGCTTGAGTACCACACACTTGAACTCTGGCAATTGCTACAGAACCTATAGAATTACTTAATAGATTAATGATGGGAGTTCATGTATTAGCTATTATAATATTAACAAAATAGGAAAATATAATTTACCCAAATCCATAATAACAGGTGTCCCATCGTCGCTAAGTACTATATTTGCAGTTTTTAAATCTCTATGAGCAAGAGGTTCTGGTTTAGCTTCATGAAATGCTTTCACACCTTCACAAATCTGTAGAAAAATGCTGAGAATATCTATAGAACTCATGTAATCGCCATTTTTTGCTCGTCGTTCTAATTCATTTGCTAAAGTTCCTCTCTAAAATTACAATAATTAATCAAAAAATATTCTGCGTAAAACTCAACATATAATGTCGAAAAAATATCGCAAAGAGACTTGCATGATAATATGGTAAAACAATTAACACTTGACTCATTGTATGTACAACTGGATCTGTGATGTCCTTGCAAACAAAATCTACACATTCTATAACGTTAAGATGCTTTATTAGCTTGTAATATTCAACTTCTTTCATTGCTAATTGTTGATCCTCTGGTCCATGACAGATAATCTTCTTAATAGCATACTTTTTGTGTGTAGTTGTGTCTTCAACTAAAAGTACTGTGCTGAATCCACTGAAAATAGAGTTTTGTCCATATTATTAATATGGTTGCATCACCTTTCAATTATGAATTGCTTTCATAAAACATAAGAAACACGTGTATTTTCGAAAATGCATCATCTAGATAGTCTCACATAATTTCTATTAATTAAAATATCTAGTTATTCGAATAGCTGTTTGTTAATTGATTAAAAACCAATTATATAAAATATACAAGATAAAGAAAATCTTTTTTTCAATTTTATGGAGCAAAGTACTCAGGTGTTTAAAGACAACTTTTATTCAACTTCTATTCCGACATGTTATCTTGTGCAATATATTATATATGTAACAATATGAATTTACAATTATAAAAAATCATGTATAACGTATTTGTTTGATAAACTTACCCTTCTCCAAGATGCTCGCAGACTCTGTATTTCCTCGAGTTTACCATGATGGTCTCTTTGGCGCATATACAACCCATTCTTAAAATCAGATTTAAACCTAGGCTATTCATACTCACTTATCACTACGATTTTATCATCGTGAAAAAAATGAAAAAAATTTCGCAAGGAGTATCTTTCTGTTGTTATTTGTAACATGCAAGCATTTTGGTATATCGATCATAATTAGTTTAAGGTTAAAAAACTTGCACAATCAATATCTCTAATTGTTTACCAAAATATCCCGTATATAGACAAAATACCGAACCACTCTAATATTATTCCTTACCTCTTTACATACTAAACGCGCATTTCTCATGTAAGCCTAGCATAAGTTACATAAATCCGCGGGAAGACGAGAGGATAACAGATCAGCTGTGTCTCTTTCTTTCGAAGACGCATTGAACATCGACATAGGTTTAGCTAGAGACCGTACAAGTAACGGTTAGCGCGCTAACACCGTTATAAGCGCGAGCCAGAGCCATTTACGAGAGAAAATTGCGATTAGCGATAAGAGTACATTGATTAATTTCGTCACTTGAACAAAACAATCTAGCGTAGTAGCAAACGTAATACACGGTTCTTATTTTTAGATTTATATAATTTTCGCTAAAATTTTAATCACGCGCCGTAATGTAGACTTAGGGTACATCCACACGAATTTGCATATTTATGCGCTATAGAAGTCTGCTGGATTTACCCTTACCAACCAATACAAATACATTGAAAATCGCAACTACAGACGCAACCACACACTCAATAGAATGCCGTTCTCGGCAAGAGACAGGGTGGGTTGTCTCTGACGTCACTTTCGGCAATATCCGCGAACACTCGACTGGCCCGATCTCGCACGAACGGGTCAATGTCTGAGGAGGAGGCATCGAAAAACCCAATGGTCGTTGTGGTATTGTCGTGCTACTATTCGACGACGATGGAAAGTCGTCGCTGATCGCCGAAGTATCGTTCAATATTATCACCGCCGCGTGGGTCTTGAACTCGCGGCGCTTTTTTTCTGCCACCACGCGGCTACGTCCATCACAACGTCGAAATACATCGAGAAGGCTGCTACTAGAGCTGCCTTGCGTCGGTCTGTCCGGTGCCCGTGGTCACAGCAATAGTGAAACATAGAAAGAGAAAGAAATACAGTGCCGATTAAACATAGGCGTTGAACGCAACAACGGCGACGGCGACGACGATGACGACAATGACAATGACGATGACGATAATGATGACGATGCCGATGACAACGACGACGACTGCGACTATGACTATAACTTCTTATTGAGACAGAGAGAGAGAGAGAGAGAGAGAGAGAGAGAGAGAGAGAGAGAGAGAGAGAGAGAGAGAGAGAGAGAGAGAGAGCGAGCGAGCGAGCGAGCCGCAATCACTCTTTTCATTCTGTAATTTTGTGACTATCCGACTTGTATTGTGACGAAATGCAGCCAGCGCAGAAATTAGTCAAACATCGAGGACTGGAAAATGAAAAATTGGAGTAGCTAGAAAATAACAGATTCTTTAGCGAAGAAAATAGAGTTATAGAAAGACAATAGCAAGTGAGAGTGAGAGAAAAGAGAACAGAGCGAACGAGGCAGTAAAAAAAGCGTAAAAAATAAATCAAAGAAGTGAGATAAGAAAGCGAAGGTAGCCGCGCGCCGAATGAAGGAAAGCAACACGACGTTGATCGTGGAAGTAAGGATCCACGCCGTGCGACGCGCATCGTCGGCTCAGCACAGCACCGCGTGGTGGCGCTCTACTACGTAATACGTCAGCGATCTCGACAACGACGGCGACGACGGCGACGGCGACGGCGACGACGGCGACGACGAGGACGATAGAAAAACCCGAACCGCGCGAAGGAGGAAGCGGTTACATTAGAGAAACTGCTGAAAACATACGAACCGTTTCGAAAACGTTAGCCTATTGCCGACATTGGCACGCTACCCCTCGTCATCTTTCGCGCTAACAGTGCTCCGCAGCGACGCTCCTCCCCCGCAACTTGTCTATCGTTGGTTGGAACCGCGTTTCGAATCCATTCGTGGCTGCCGTTTGCTGCATTGTCCGTGACAGCAGTACGAAAAGGAAACTAGATCGTCTTGTTGCCAAGAAAGTACGCGTCAATGTATTGAAAGAGGGTGGTGTGCGACAACGGTACCACGGAGTGTGTGAAAGTGACCTTCTGGCACGGAAAAGGTGCGTTCGAAGAGCCGAGTGCGCGGATCGACCGAATTCGTTCGCGTCAGTGGTGTCGCTACGCGTGCTGTCGAGTGAAAGAAGAGGATAAATTTATCCGTAAAAAGTGCTGTTTCTCCACCGGGTGGTTTCGCGCTGCTCTTTCACCTTTTCCACTTAATTTTTTCCATTTCCACTCTTCGCATTCCTTGTCACTCCTTCGTTCCTTTTTCCGACTTCCCCTCTCCCTGCTGTTTGTCGATCGAGCATAGTGATACGTAACGCAGAATAGGAAACGCGAGTCAGTGAAGAAAGTGAAGGAAAGAGATAGTGCGCGCGTGAACACGCTCGCGTACGATGTGATAATCGCGTATGCGTTTGTCATTGATGTGTGAGGTGGTGTTGACGACGAAGACGACGTCGACGACGACTACCGGGGCTAACTTCAGGCGGAGACGGAGGAAGAGGAAGAGTTGCCGGAAGCACCGGTCGACCTAACCTAGTCTAGAGGACGCAGGAAGAACAAGTGAGAAAGAAGGCGGCGGAGGCGGCAGCCCATTTTGAGTGGTGGAGCGGAGGTGGTGAAAGCGTGGAGGCGGAGGTGGAGACGGTCGAGACAGCTTCAGAATGAGCGGACGACCGAGAACCACCTCCTTCGCCGAGGGCAACAAGCCGCCCGCAAATCCACCCCTTGGCGGTATGAAGATCAGCAGTGAGTACTATAACCTCACCATAATGCTATAACTTCTATCTCTTTCTGTTGGCATGATTTTTTATATAACACTGAGCTTGACCAATTTTGATTAACTTTTATAAATAATTAGCTTTTGACGTACAAAATTGTACTAATAACATTTCTAATTATATAATTTGCTCTTTCTTCTTTCTATGTATTGTATGATACTGTATGATACTGAATGATATTGAATGATACTGAGTGATAAATTAGATAATGTTCATACATTAATGTACATACATACATGTACATGCTTTAAATACCAATTAAATTAGTTGTCGATTAAAGTTAATCACACAGAGTTGGTCAAATTCACTCCAAGATTCGTGCTAACTATATTTTTTGCACTTTTTTTTAAATTTAATTAAAACATATTTCAAATTAATCTGAATATATATTTCACTCTGAGTATGAAGCGAATAGACTCGGTATACCAAGAATTATGAATCTTAACACAGTTGTATATCAAATTTGACCAATTCGTGACAGGCACATTGTATCTAAATATTCATGCATCACAAGACTATGTTTGACAGTTTCACATCTTTAAGCAGTTACATTGATGAAGGATTAAATATAATGGTAAAATATTAACAATAATTTTTACAATAAATAAGTTGGTTAATAAAAATTTAATTTAGATTTTTTACCAGCAGTCATGATGTACGAATATCTAGACAGTATACGCTTCGAATGGTTTAAATTTCGTGCAATTTCATATATTAAGGTATTCATAATTTCCAGTATACGCTTGCAAAGAATAGATTAATCGTTTAATTGTTATATTTGTTTATTTCAACAATAATTTCTATACTTTTACCATCTTTTTCTTTTTTCCTCTGCAACAATTATATATATTTTTTAATATTTTCTGCGTTGCTCCATAAGTGAGATTGATTCTGTTTTGTTTCAAGTACGAAAAATGTAACCAAAAAATGCAAAGATGAAAAAATACAGATAATAAATGTAATAATGTAATGCACAAAGCATGCAAAAATGTGAATAGTATGAGCATAGAAAAATACAAGTTTCTTCCCAGTTTATTTGTTTTACACTTATAATTAAAAAATTATTTTATACTTATAATGAAAAAAATTTATATTTATTTTTTGAAAAAGAAAAAGGCAAAAGAAATGCAAAGAAGTGCAGAAAGATCATCTAAAACGAATGAATCTTTAGAGTTTTAAGGATAATTTGCTATAGCCATATTTTCTTGTGCTTTTTTACAATTTTATTTTCTGATTTTTTAATAGAAATATCTAAATATTTAAATTTATTTAAATGACATGTACAGAAATAATTAGTAAATTTGGATAACATCTTTAAACAATATATCAAAGAAATATGAATATCTAGTTTTCAAAGTGAATATGAAGGGAATTCTTCCTTAACACATTCTTACAAGTTTTCTCTTTTTTCTGCGATGTTTAAAAGTACGTTTATATCATTTTGAGTATAGAAAATTTCAAGCAATGTAGTTGAAAACAACAGACTGATTGTTCTTCCCTTCTTTCTCACTATTTCGATTATTCTCTATTATTCTTTTTTTTATGTTTCTCTCATTTCTTTTTATGTTCTTGATTCATCTAGCGAATGGAACTGCGTGTTTGCATGCGTATATCCGCGAGTGTTTTCGGGAGAAGGGATCATGATTGGCAGGGTAGATGAAGGATTAGAAAAGATATTTTTCATAACATTGTGCCTAAGATTCGTTCTGCAATCGATTTTGCATAGGATATATTTAGAATAATTATCGGTTTGTGTAGGATATATTTTCTGACATCTCAACATGAATTCTCCACGGGTGAATCGTTTAGTGAGATTCATTCTATAACAAAGATGGAGTCGATTACATTCGTCGATATTTTTCGTAGTATCTTTTATTCGTTTGGTTTTTACGTTTTTTTAAAAAAGGAAACTAGATGGCAAGATACAACACAAAAATTTGAAAGTAAATTGTTATATTTTTTCTGTACAACATCCTATATTGTTAAAATATATCTTTTAAAACAATATTGTTACAACACTGTAAACTTTAAAAAATGCTATATTAGTAACATATTAATTCTTAAAATATTAATGATATAGTACACATATGCGTCATTGAAAACTGATCGTTATTAACGGTCCATTTGCGTTATTTGAAAAAGAAAGTATTTTTTACTTATAAGATTTTTGCAAAATATGGTTTTTGTAGATGTTTTTTAGATCATAGAATTTGAATTTTTATTGAAAATTTATAAATTTAATATAGTCTACTTACAATGTAGTAGAGAGAGAGAGAGACAGGGAAAAATTTATCTTATTTTTTAAAACTTAATTTTTTAGAACTTTTGTGATTTTCGAAATCAAATTTGTTATCTAATTTTTAAAATTGGCGACAACATTATTTTTATTAAACACAAAATAAAATTTATTATATTCTAAATATTTAATTTACGTATCAAATTTAAATTAAGTGCCAATAATTATTTTTTAATTTAATCAATTATTTTAAATTTATGTTATTCTATATCTTTATTTGTGATTATTTTAAATTTTGTATATAATAAAATTTACATTTAAATTTTTTCAAATTAAAGATTCTTAAAATACTCTGAAAAAGTTTTTGTGTAAAATTTGTTACTCGAATTTTTAATTGCACTGTGCATTGATTTATGATATCGACAGAAAATTTCGATATAGATTTAAATTTAGTTAAATTTAATTTTAAATAATCTTGTGAAGTATACATATATATATAATCTTTACGTAAGTTTAAATATTTTTTAATAGAAATCTTTTTTGGAAATAAAATATTTGTATTTCTTAGCAAGGGATTCTTTATGGGTTAAATTATGATAGTATGGTTGTATCTAATTATTACATTAATTCTATATACAATATATGTATTTACATTACTGCGTTTTGATGATTCGTGTATTTAATATCTGTCTTAAATTATGAGCGATAAAAATAATTGCACTTATGATTTATCACGAAATATTTAATCAAATGTAAAATAACATTTAAATAAAAAATATATTATAATATTTATTTGCTATTCAACAGATTCGTGATAAAATTGAGTATCCATGTTTCTTATCTTATTGCATTATTATTTAGGTATAAATGTTTAATAAATTATGAAATAATGTGAGGCTAGTATGAATCGATCATATTGCTTCGTAGATGTTCTTATCTCTTAAGCAACATCTTATGTGATAAAAAAGAAAAATAACATTAAAGCAGTAATAGCAAAAAACAATTACCGAATTTTGAAACACAAATCGAATTTTGAAACTGTGCAATGTTAATTATTTTGAGTTTGTCATTTTGAACAAAACTTTAATTGTTTTCCATGGGAAGAGGGGAGCTGAATAAAGACCGAGTCAGCTTTTCCATTACTTAAAAATAAACTCATGTTAAATTAACTCCCTCTATTGTTAATAAGATCCAGATTTATGAAAAAACTGCTGTTTTTACTTATTATCTTTGTAAGGCAATCACAACATGAATAAGCTAGTGAGAAAGGTTTTTTTTAAATATATATGTATAATAAAATATGAGTAATCTAATAACGAATAGTAATACTCATTCCAAAAATTTTACTGCGATATTGGATAGATGACATTGAACGCTTTTCTTGTTAGCAGTTAAATTAGAAGTTACTTATAAGGTCTAAAATTGATACAAGTTTGATTTTTGTGTTCTATTTTTTTACCTTTAAATAGAGCTTTTAAGACTCTATAACTCGACAGAAATATGATTAAAGTAAAGATATTTGCTATTGTCCGTTGTGTATGTTTAAAAATAAACAACGCGTATTCCGATTTTTAAACTGCAAATTGTTTGCAAGAATACTTTGTGTTTCCGTTACACAAGAGAAAACTGGTTAGTTTTTATCCACAGGTAACTCTTTGTATAGAAATATCATTCTTGAGCTATCGTGCTCACCAGCTTAAAAAAAGCCATTTTGAGAAAAACTTCATAATTGTAAATTTGATTTTTTCAACTTCTGATGGATTTTTCATATTTACATCTAATCGATTATTAAATTGGTCCATATGATAGATCTTTCATTCTTATATAGAAATCCCTTATTTTATCATTACCTTTTTTGACAGACAAATCCTGCGTTTCTAGACAAGTTGAAATATTGGTGTTTATTAAAGTTTAATGCGATATTCATTTTTATACTCAGAATACGCTTATTAAACTAATATGCATTTATTTCCGAATACTATCTCATAACTGATAACCATTATTAAAAATAGAAGCTGTTAAAAAATAGTGACTTTTTTAACAATTATATTTGTTTTAAACTACAATTGCATTAAATTATAATTTTGAAAGCGATAATTAAAGAGTTTATTTTGGCAAATTTATGAGAAATAACTAATTTGCAAAATATACTAGACATGACTTTTATTATTGTTTATATATTATATGTTTATATATATAACTTGATAATTTTGTTGATACTGCTGACGACATTTTAAGGAAAATATCAATTTTTTACTTATTAGATTGTCATGTGTTTACTATGTGTTGGCAATAACTATGGATTTGATAATTATACAATTTACGAAGGCCATATGTCCCTATAATCATAGTGAATTTAAAATATCTTACACATTTTCTTATTTGTAAACAACTATATCGGGTGATTTATTTTAATCTTAAAAGCAAATATTCGAAGAAATTTTATAAATAAAATTAAATATTCGATTTTTTTCGTAACGGAAGGAAAGGGACAAAGAGAAATACTGAGAGCAAAAGTTGTAGAATTTAAAGAGATCACAAGATACTGTATTACAAAATATCACGATAATATCTCTGAAAAATATATCTGAAAATTTTTTGCAAAAAAATGTTTAATTTTGCATCATTTTAAAAATATTTTGATATCAGCTACAAAAGTATGCAAAAAGAATTTTGGATTCTTATTTAAAAAATTAAAATAATCTTAATATTACATTAAGAAATTTACCAAA